CGGGTACAGGTAAAGGATTAGTCTGTCAGCATTAGAAGAAAGAAAGGATAACATACTTTGACGTCCAAGCGCGAAAACCGAAGTGCAATATAATTTACAACTGTTGTGAATTCTTAAAAGGTTATTATAATTTTCAAGGAAGGTCTTTTTCACAAGGGTTTACGTACAATTTTTCTTGCTATTTTCCATACGTTATAAGGATCTAGATCGTTTTGGGGGGATCTAGATCGTGTAAATCTTTGATCTGGATCTAGATCATGATTTTTAAATGTATCTGGATCTCTATCTAGATCCAGAATTAAAGGATCTTACACAACACCGCAAATAACTACACCATTCCAATGATGAAACGAGATTGCTAAATAATAATATATGATGAAACTGATTGCAGACTGCAGTAATAGACATCATAAGTGTTAGATTTAAATATTTTAAAAAAATAATCTTTATTTTGTTTCCGGTGACGGCGAGTTAACCGACGGCAAGTTGACCGATGGCGAGATTGCCCGACGGCGACTCGGCGACGGCGACTTGTCCCTGCCCGGTCTAAACTGTATGCTGCTACTTCACTCAACGAAACCAAGTGTATGCCATGTAAAAAAATCCCCTGAATCCGAAAATCATAGTCCCCCTGGTCGGAAACCCCCTGAACATATTGTTATAACCAAAAAAACGAAGACAAAATGGGGAAATGTCGCTTCTTTTCGCATTTGACTTCAAGTATCTCTGAGGAAAAATGAATACAAATGAATTTATTAGAATCAAAATATAAAAAAAGCAATCCCGAAGATAAACAATTCGTTATTACTAAGTCAAATTCATCCGATCTTTGTGAAAATTCGTATTTGATCACTTCTTTTGATAAAAAAACAATATGACAAACCCGATCACCACAGGTTTTATAGTTATTGTATAATTAAATAAACAAATTAAAAAAACGATGCTTTGTCTTTCAAACAACGTAACTCCCAGAGCGTTCTTAATTGTTATACAATTAGTGGAACCCTAAAACAATCCTTTTCAAAAATTGGCCAGATGGTTCTTGCACACCTTCTCTTCTTTATTGAACCTATTAACCACTGTTACCTCTTCCAAGTCCTAGTATGTCCATAGTTGGTTTCCGTCTACAATTGTCGATACCATACCAAATATCGACTGCCGTGGTTGGTACAATATTTTGTTTGCTTGTACACCACCCAACCAAATTCAGTTTGTTGACAACAACTCTTCTTTCCCAGGTAGTATGAACTCTGCCCTCAGGAGATGTCTATTAGCCCGGACGTGTTTAGGTTGGATCAGCTAAACAAACGTTCTTTCCTGGATGTTTGTTGATTTCATTTAATTACCATTAATCGATTTAATTTCTAATGGTATACGAAAACCAGCATTAAATCGGAAAGGTCGTGCTGTTTAACGACAATATCAACGTGATAACAGATTTTGCCGTTTGACATTCCAAGGAGCAAAAGGCTAGACTGCCGAATTTGGAGATTTTGTTCCGACTCTTTGGATAAGTCCAATTAACCGTAATTAGTTTCATGGGTTATTGGTAACAGCCTCTAAGCCGAGATTACATCCGTTAGATGCGCCCTTAAAAAACTTAAATTTTGACACAGGTCTCGTATTTTTAAGATACCTGGGAAGGACGTAACGAATTAAAGAAGTTCTCTTCTCTCCATGAAATGGCCGAATTTTATTAAAGGTAAAGCTGTTGTTTTAGTGGGGATCCTTTTGTTATTTTGCTTGCCGTAAGTATGTTAATTTATAGAGCTAGTTTTTGCGAAACGTACCGTCCAAACTTAAAGTAAACGATCCTTTCTACTTTTGCATTTTTCTACTACTCAGCTTTTGCTTTTGTTTTTGTTGCTTGCCCTTTTGTTTTAACCGATTTAATCAGGATGTGAGTTTTTTTGCAACTCTCTGTTTAAGTTATTATAAATAAGGGTTTTTTAATTGCATTCATTCTCGCTAGGGAAATTGCCGCAGAGGTTGCGGGCCATAGGTCGTCTAAAGTGGCCGCCGCCATTTTGCTGGAATCTTTTGTATTTCCTGAGAATGCGTAGTGCCAACTTTCTTATTTATTATTATGTACAGTCTGTTACTTTTGCAACTGATCTTTACTTTGTGTTGGGGTATTCGTGATCTGGTATCTGTGACTTGGCAATGTCGTTGTGATTTTGTTCGATACTTTGCCGATACATTTTTAGTTGACGTTCATGCTTCAGAAAGTATTGTAACGGTAGCTCTAAATTTAAATGTAGTTTTTTTTCTAAACTTTGTGGTATGTTAGAAGATCGGAGATTTGATAGTGGAATTGCAATAATTAATAAGCGACCATTTGGTGGAAGAGAAGATTACTTAAGGCTATTTTATTACAACTACGAATTCAGTCGTGCTGGGAAATGATTTACTACCCTGGGTCTTGTTTAATTGGTAGTGCAAATTGAAGCAAACGAATCAACGATTGAAGATGTCCCATTTTGTTAATAAGAAACCATTTTGTAGACGTTCATTAATCAGTAAGAAATTAAGGGCGGTCAATTCGGGGGATCTCTTGAAGGATTTAGTACTAAACTGCAATGTATTTATTTAAGGACCTATTAATAATGATGAAAATTCTTTTCAGGTAATTCTATAGAAATTCCATTGTTGTCGTTGGGGCTTTTAATAGGGAAATTTAAGGGTAGTTTTGATTTCTTCGTTATTATAATAAATTAGGAGTAGATACGAGAAAAACGTGGTCACGAAATAAAAACTTTGATAAAAAATAAGAAGAAAATTGTAAACTACGTGGATTGTGGTTTGAGATGTAGACTATTAGTTTATATCACGTTGGAATATTTATTTTTTACTAACCAGGAACCCATGAACCGAATCTTTTTTTATATTGGTCACCATTTGTTGACTCGTATTGCTTTAGTACCTGCTCGTTTAATTGCTCCAATTTTTAAAACAAAAAATTCAGAAGATAGCCTCCTGGTTGTTGTGACGAGGGGAGTAAATTCACCAGATCTCGAAATCTTCTTCGGTCTTACCCCGTTCGCTATTTTGGTGTCGACAGGGCACTGGAGCTCAGCCCTACTTATGGTGCTGTATCACTATTTGATCTTGATGTGTTATCGATGGACTTGCTGTCTGCTAATTCTGCAATCTTAACCGTGAGTGGTATTTTCCATGACTTTTGCAGATTCCCTTAACCCATCCCTTTATCTAAAAGTATAGTAATTTCACTTACCCGCTGTCTTTTGCTTTCTTTGACGATGATCTCTTTGGTACGTTAACCGTCGTTAATCCTTGTCCCCTTGTCTTCAGTGGTTCATTTTATTAGACGTAGCAAACTGAATTGAGGACAGTTTCCACATTATTTCCTACGACTTCGACGCGCTTCCTGACCCCGTGTTTTTCAAATTCTCGAAAGAGCATCAATAATATTGGGATTGCTCTCAATATCTAATGGGTGGTACAGCTACTTTGTAGACTCGGAAGCTCTATGCTCAGCTCACGTACAATCTTACTACAGATACCAAATGAGTGCAAAGCGGATTCACCTTGCAAATTTTTTAGTTTTGGAATCTCAGTAATAAAGATTAATGACTTTTACACCAAGATTATTTATTTCTACTTTTTATACAAAAATAATACAAGCATAAGACATATACTGTGTCGCGTTTCGTTTTCTTAATATTGCCCCTTCTGGACGAGGATCCACTACATCTAGATCATCGAGATCAAGAACCCTTGTAATTTATAACGATTCGTGTTTTGTAACTAGAGGTCTGCCAACGCAACACTAAACGCCCCTAAAATTACAAAATTTTTAATCGTGCAAGACTACGAATAGCTATGACATCTGCAATTATGGAAATAAATAAGCTAATCCGATTAAATCATTTGCGGCTTTGTAATTCACGATCTGACAGATTTTGTATATTTATGAGTGAGATCTTCACACTATGGCTTAATAATGAGTACCTACCGGTAATTTTTGCTCGTCCTGCTCTCGATTCATTACGTATGCTAATTATGATATTTAACATTATTTTACTTTCTTTGTATGTAAATTTATGTTTGTTCAATAAAGTATGCGAGCTACAAGATAACGAAGATTAGCACTATTTAATGTCTTTAAGGTAGTGAAGTTGCACGTGTTTGTTGGTCGGAAGACCGTGAGAATGTGGTTATGGCATCGGTTAGTTATTTGATGGGTGTCGGAAGAAGTTCTTCATCCACTCGCCTCCTAGTCGATTAAACGTATAAATGCCTTTTTCTCTTTAAACTGGTAAACGATCGTTATGCGTGGCAGATGCTATATTTTCGAAAGGCCGATTTGCGAACACCAATTTAAAAGGCGAGAAAAAAATTAAAATCGACATTATTCATCATTCCGCTAATATACATAATTAATTGCGACGTATGTAACGGTGTTTAAATTTTTTGAAACGCGTCTAATTTCCGGAAATATAGTGATATATGTTGCAATCACCATTTTTGACAAATAGCTAATCATATACCTATGCAAAAGTAGACAGTTTTCTATCTCGTCCTATGCGATCACGGATCACACCACATTCATCACTTTCTTATATATTAATACACTCGTGGATTAATAAATCTGTGGAATGCAAAAAAATCTTAGCGAATAACGTGTTCCGTTTTTATGTTGCGAATCAAATCCGAATTTCTAATTATGCCAAAATGATTGCTGTTATTTCATTGAGGGGTTTTTGTTCAAGATTCGATCCTCAACAAAATTATATACCTATGATATACATATACACTATGTCCGAGATAAGTATATCTATCATGGGGATCTCCGAAAAGATACGATGATGGACAAATTAGAGAAAAATTGTGCAATTAAATGAAGTTATTACCATGCTTTAAAGAAAACCAGAAAATTCCGATTACTTCCGAAGATATGCTAGAAAAACCGAAATTTGACGGTTTTTTTAAGATTGTCTGATGTTATTTGAACAGATGGCTCGTAAAAATTAAGTAGCATTTTTTTCATTACGAATACAACGGCACAAAAAAAAACAAAAGTTGGTTCAACAGGATGGTGCACCCGTGCACAATGCCGCTAATCGGACAAATTTCCTGGAAAATTGTAAATTTCTCCGATAGGTGTTCTCTCACGATTGGGGCGTTCTGCACGAGTGCCCCATCCTGTTGAAACCAAGAGTTTCCAACTTTTGTTTTTTTTTTATGCCCTACAAAAATGATATACGTGTGTAAACATCAGGATAACTACAAAGGTACAGAAACAGTCACTTGAGGGTGGGCCAGGTACACCCTATCTCTCTAAAATGTTTGAACACTCCATGGGGCATGTGGAATAAGGGAGATGTGTACGTACTACCGACTTAGTGCATGAATAATTCTACTTTATGTGTAAAAGAAAAAAGGCGACCAGGTCATGTCATGTGGTACAACCGTAGCACACTTTACTTTTAGGCGAGCCTTTGATTTGTTACTGCGAGTAGAGTAACCATATTCTTTGGCTTCAGTGTATGCAGTTTATTGAAGTAGTGCGAGTTGCCCCCGTTTGGTAATTGCTAAATTTTATATATCTTATATTTATTTGTATGGTTATTTTTTGTTCTGATGAAGCTCCTTACGAAGGTGGGTGAAGCCTTGACTATCCATATCCACCAGCTTCACCTTTGACATTTGGATGTTTGATTAGGAAAGGGTAAAGGAGATTATTAAGTGAATTAGCCGATGATAAAGCTATTTTTGGGATGTTTATGATCACTAAACATTTGTGTATCTACAATATAATAATAAATGTGGTAAAATTGTGAATGTGTAGGTATGTTCGTTAATACCAGAAGGGTGATCCAGAAATGTTCCAAAACGAGGTAAGCAGATTGCAAACAGTAAGTACACTATGATTATATCACTTTAGTGTTGCAGCATTTATGAGAGTAATGTATAGTAAAAAGTCGACAATCATTGAAAGCCAAATAAATCATTTTAATCAGTTACAAGAACTGTGGTGGAATGAGAACGGCGCCTTGAAGGGTCTTCACTCTATGAACAAACTAAGAGTTCCTTTCGTTTGGGAAGGCTTGGTTAACTCAGGAGTTGTTCATAAAGACTTGCTTCTTAAACAAAACCCACAACCTCTCACTAGCATAGAAATATTAGATGCGGGATGTGGAGGTAGGTACGGTTTTTTCTAACCTGCGTAATTCGTTTCATTTTGTTTTAGGTGGGATTCTAGCGGAGGCATTAATGAGATCAGGCGGTACGGTAACTGGTATTGATCCGGCAGAAGAATTACTAGAAGTAGCCAAGCATCATAATGTATCTCGTAATATAAACTACTACCCAGTTACAGTTGAAGAATTCTCAAAAGAGAACAAAAACAAGTTTGATGCAGTCGTCTCTTCAGAAGTGATAGAACATATTTGTGAGTTGGAAGTTTTCTTGGAGAAGTGTATTCGTTGTTTAAAACCTGGAGGTTCTCTCTTTATAACTACTGTGAACCAGACACTACTTGCTTAGTTGCATATTATCCTGCTTGCAGAGATGGTGTTGAGACAACTACCATCAGGAACTCATCATTACCGTAACTTTGTTCCACACCAGCGACTACTAACGATTTTGGAAAATAGTAAGCAACTAGCAGTTAAGTTACATGCTAATATTTGCTAACTTCCTTAGATGAATGCAGAATTTGTACAGTTCGAGGAATGGTGTACAACTTCATGAATAATGATTGGTATTGGACCAAATCACCGGCAATTACTTACGCTGTGCACGCTATTAAAAACTAATTGTTACATACAAAGTACAAATATTGAACACCAACAATGTATAATGAAAATTTTATAGAAGTATTTCCACCAGAAGAATTCCATTTATCGATTGTCTATCCGTAGATATCTATGATTTTTGTATTACGAACTAGATACCCACTATTGCAACTAAGATATTGGTTTTTCAATTACTTTTTGGTGTAATTTGATATAAAATGTATTGTTATGTAACTCACCTGGTTGCACCTACATCTCGACGTACCTACTATTATTGTAGTATTTTTTATTACGAATACAACGATATACGGCACAATGTGTTGGAAACTGATGAGGTTTCAACAGGATGGTGCAACCGCGCACAACGCCAGAATCATGTGAGAATATTAAACAATTTTCTTGGAAAATAGAAAATTGGTCCCATAGGTATTCGGGCGTTGTGCACAAGTTGAAGTTCTATTTATCTTAAATCAATATATTTCTAGTCAATTAAAAACCAATACAAGTCAATAAAAAATGAGTTTGAGCCCAAAACAGAAGCTTATATTTTAAACGTACTCTCAATGTACCGTGGTACCTGCATAGTGGGTGTCATTTTATATCGTGGATTTCAAACCAGAATGACAGATGCCATTAGAATGCACACTCATCTGTTTCACTTTATCTATCCTTACGGTTAAAGTGATCACTTTATCTATCGGTACGGTTCAAAACCTGCTTAACCTACTCATGCAAACCTATTAAAATGTCATTTTAACATAATTATGCTATATAAAATAAAAAAATATAACTCCGTTATTCCTACGGAAGTACATTTTAATAATTATTTTCTGACTAGGAGTTGTTTCCTTTTTGCAAATTAATTTTGAATTTAAATTTTGATTTTGAGTAATACATATATTGTCAAGTACTATTTGTAAGATTTAGAAATCATTTGTTATGTTTTATATTCTTGAATTAAAATGCCATCGATTTCAGTTATTGTTCAACCAATTCAATTTCTTTACCATTTTAGTTTTATCAAGAATAGAACAAGAATCTTTTAGTCTACCTCGTTGCCTCTCAGTATTTTCCCTCCCCAAACATTTTCTACAAGACTAAGTGGCGCCTATCCGGGTTACTCATTTATCTTTGCTTTGTTGACTAACCGTAGAACCCCTTAATCACCCCGACCCATCTCTATTAGTGAAACGGAAAGTAACAAAAAACTTATCTTGAAATTAACGGAGCGGTAGCAAAAGCTGAAAGCTAATTCCAATAAATATGGTGCGCTAACTCAATCGCAAAGCAAAATCAAACGGTACGGATGCAAAGAAATGTAATTGGCGAAAGTGCAAAAAGGCAAAAGAATTCAATACGATTAAAACACCAAAGGCAAAAGATGCAGAAGGCAAAAGAGTTTACATTTCGGTTAACCACCAAAATGTAAAATATGATACGGTTGCAAAAGTATATTTAAAATTTTGGTACTTACAAAACGTAGCTTGCGAAGATGCAAAAGTAATAAGATTTACTTACTATTCGGTCAAACGCCAACAGCAAAAAGATTCTATTTCATAATGCGTTTTCTATTTATCTAAACGTCCATTTGAGTATGGGCAAACGGGAATTCCCGTCTCGTACGCTGTAAAAACGTTGTTAAAACTGTTTTAAGCAATTACTCGTTTCCCGGACATCGAAAAAATATGGGAGGATGTCAAACTTCAAGTTTATTAAGAGCGCACCTAACGGATATAATCTCGACGTAATAACTTTGGTCTGTAACCCATTCACCTAATTACCGTTAATTATACCAAATAGTCGGAATAAAATCTCCAAATTCGCAGTCAAGAAATGCCCTTTTGTCCCTTGGAATGTGAGGTCAAGCGGCGCAATCGATTATCACGCTGATATTTTTCTTAAACTGGACGGTCTTGCGTCTCCTCGTCTCCTAGAGGGAATAAGTAAATTTAGAAACACCTTAGTAACCAAGCGCCCAACATAAAACGTTTCTAGATACCGGGTGTTCAACAAACGACTCGATAAATATACTGTGTGGTCATAACTTCGGGTATGCACTTCAGGGAGAAAAAGGGTGCGTCGTTATGATCGTACAGGTCCTTCGTTAGAATTTCAATTACAGAAGAAACGAAGTTATTAAAAAAAGTCACAGTTAGCGGGGGAGTAGGGGTAGCTTAAGTGTAAAAATCATTTGAAGAAAGTTAATCGCTAACGCGAAGTATTAGTGTTACGGGCTAGAATCTCACTTGCATCAAATAAATTGAATCTCTACGGCACTGGCAGAAAACCCAAATGAACAATAACTTTTTAATCTGCCACGGCTAGCTCATTAATAAAACTGCTTTATATTCCCCTTACTTTGTGGAAATTTGGCTCGTATCTCCTTTTAAAATCTGAAGTGCAAAGTGTAATGTTCTACGTCCGATGAAACTTGAATAAATACGCATATGACTTTAGTTGATTGAATAAATACAACAGAGATTTTCCTTACAGGTTCGTTTATACAAAATATTGTCATGGCTCATAAAAAGAAAGATAAAAAAAATGCAATGCCTATTTAGTGATCACATGTCCATACTAAATTTGATTCTTATTTAGATCTTTATCTTTACCATATAATAAATTGCTATTACAATCTCCTGTTCAAAATATACACATACCTTGAATATGAAACAACAAATTTAATCCAACCAAAGGAATGGTAGGTACTACCGACATTAAAAGCAATTAAAGAATTCCGAAGTACCTACGGGAACAAAACAAGCTTTGCTTGGATCTGATTGGTTCCAATGAATGAAATACAATACAGAACGTTTTTATACAAATGCTTGCAGAGGAGGTACCAAATACCATGTTTAGCGGACCTACAAAGCCAGGTTTTAAATATAGATTTCAGAATGTGTGTAATCTCTGTTAACAACATCCCCCTATTTGCCCATTGTAGAATCTACAAAGAATCGTTCACTAGAGATATAGAGAGAAATAAGAGTTCCCGTATAAATTCTTAGTGATTTGTTTGTAAAGGTTGTAACACGATTGGTAAAAGGCATTTTACAAATGCACGGGTGCATAATAAATAAACATTAATTACAAATACAATGTTCTTTATGGTCATTTAAATTCTTTAAAAAGCCAACATCCGCACTTCTTGTACTTTCATCGTTAAATATTTAGTATCAGAGATTTGTTGTTAGGTGATAGGTTCGTGCTACAAAGTGTGCTATGGATATTGGACCGCCTGCACCGTGAATAAAAGTCGATTTAGCTTCGGTTTACTACCTTAGCGACGTTGTCAAAAGCATAAACATTCATTACAAAACTATCATTTATGTCCGATTCTTAAATGGAGAGACGCTATGGCGGCTACAGCTCGGCATAAAATTGCAATTTTCTCACGCACGCTTAATTTAACGGAGTGAAATTTTCGTAATAAAACTAAACCAAATTGAATATAAGAGAATTGTTTTGTTATTATTGTTATAACCGACCATAAACACTAATAAAACACATACATGGCGTTAATCGAAGATTAGTGTTATTACGCAGATGTTAGATGAATGTTTCCAGGACGGTTTATGTACCTAATCAATCTAAATTTCAAAAAAATTAAGTTGTTGAAACTTGTCCCTTTAATCAGACTAAAGGACATACATTTTGGCGTTTATTCAAGGGAAACCCGATCATGTTCAAGGAGATGCTAAGAGATCTGAATGGCCGAGGAAATTTTTAAGAAATTTCGAACTGTGCAATAATCGTACGCGACCAATATCACAAGAAAATAACTATATTCTAATTGTTTTCTGTCGTAGTAATGAATAGCAACATTTAACATTCAAATGGTTAATAGACAAATAAACTATTCCCAGCCAACACACTTACGTTTAATAAACGGTTTTAAAGCGTTTTGAATTTGGTATTGGTAGTATGGTATACTACTATGGTATATTTTGTAGACCAATTTTATACCCTACGTTTAAAATACGATTTCTGCTCGTATATATAAACCATAGAGTTCACGTTCTACGTTGATAATATGTATATAAATAAACGTTCTTTTAGCTATAATTTGATAAATGTATATAATACCAATTTGATTTACCAAGTTGGAAGATTGGTATATTTACTTCCTCCAAAATACGAATAAAAATTAGGCATATTCTTCGTATCAAAATTACGTAATATTTATGTCATAATCTAAACGTTCCAGTATTTGGTATAAGTTGACAATAATAAAAATTATATTTTCTGATGTTCATTTTCATTTGGCCGTGGTAAAGCAGCACTATTCTTAACAGGAACCTGCATCGTCCTCGCAAAGTGGGCTACAGCTAGTTTCAATAGATCGTAGCTGAAATTTGTCTTTTTTTGATCCTACAGAAGGACGCTTCTCCGACGCCAAACGGCGCCTCTTATGTATGCGGAGATGACAATAATTGGAAAAGTTGCCACCTCACCTGAAGAGTAGTAATTTTTTATTGTAATTTTAACACAGGAATAGATAGAAACATTAATTTTAAGCAAAAAGTGTTCCATGCATTTTTTTCGGAAAGTTAATACACCAGTTATTCGCTACCGAAGGTAGGTATGAGTTTTTCATTAGAAAAGATCAATGTTTTTAATTGGTTAATTGGTTTCGTGAAAAACTCGAAAAGTATGCATTTTATAATAAAAAACTGTTGAGAACAAAATCGTAGCTTTTAAAAAAACAAAGAGAATGGTTTTTTAATACTTGCTGTATGATAATACGAACCGAGTTGTGGCTTGTTAAAGGTTAGCTCTTGTTCGTCCAACGCTAAAACTAGGCATTTTTCGAGAAAAACTTGTAGAATATTCTTTAAAGTGTTTAAAATAACCTTTTTCTTTTTTTTTTTAAACAATAAACAAACATCATAAAAATTAAGTGAGTTACGTTGAAAATAAGGTAGATCCGTACTTTTTTCAGCGAAAAAATCAGCGCAAAGCAACCTCGTAATTACCACCCTAATTAAAATTAATAATAATAATAATAATAATCTTTATTGTTCCCTTGACATGTATATCATGAACAAATTAAATTAATCTTCACTAGCAAGAAAAAGAAAAAGAAAGAAAACCATCTAACATAACATTCGAATTTAAAAGAAAAGCACGAGATAAAAAACAAAAAGTATAGCAAAATCAATATCTATTCTTCGGCTGTACTCCATACGAAAGAAAGTAAATGACTGTCATTTTCTTAATTTATTTGTTTTTGTAATTATTGTTATTATGTCACTCATTCAACAGAAATGATCTCAACTTCATAGCCTCCGTTAAAAAAACCACCACGGTAAAAAAATTGTTTCTGTTTAAATTTTGTAATGTTGTAAATATATCACGTTCTGGAAAAATAGTAATGAGCTCTTTTCTGAGAGGTTGGTATAGTGGGCACTCAAAGAAGAGGTGTTGGAGAGTTTCGCATTGATGTGTGTTGCATATAGTACATATATCTGTGATTTTTATTTTATAATTGATTTTATTGACGTACATTACTACCATATCTTTATTGTGAGTTTTAATTTGCATTAAGGTTCTTTTATATTTCAAGGGAATCGGCAATCTTATGATGGAGACTGATGTGTTTGTGAGAGGGTTTTGTTTCAGAGTGTACTTATACGTGT